GTGGATGGCTTGATCAAACAGAAATTTATTCTTTCACAGTTTAGGAGGCCAGAAGTCTGAATTCAGGGCACTGGTTCTAGGGGAAGGCTTTCTTTCTCTGTTTCAGCATCGGTAGCATTCCTTGGCTCCTTGGTGATCTTCCTGTGCTTTGGCATCAATCTTCCCCTGTCTCTGCTTGCTTGCTTGTTTAATCTCTTTTATATTTCAAAAACAGATTGACTCAAGACACACCCTACACTAATCCTGCCTCATTAACATAACAAAGATAATGCATTTCCAAACGGTATTGTAACCACAGTCATAGAGGTTAGGATTTACAATACATATGTTTGGGGGACACAGTTCAATCTATAACACTGTATTATGTTTATAGCCTGAAATTCTGTTTTCTTAATTACAAAGGTAATTATGATATCTGCCTTTTACTGAACACCTATTATGTGAGAGCACCCTGTTGTTGTTAGATGTTGTCGAGTCCACTCCGATTTATGGTGACCTTATTTACAACAGAAAGAAATATTCCCGGTCCTGTGTCATCCTCAGAATCACCAGCATGTTCGAATCCATCTCACCAAGGGTCTCCCTTGCCCTCACTGACCCTCTACTTCACCAAACATGATGACCTCTTCCAGCGATTGATCCCTGCTGATGACGTGTCCAAAGCATATGGTTTTCATTGGCTGATGTTTGAAAGTAGATCTCCAGGCCTTTTTTTCCTGGTTTGTCTTAGTCTGAAAGCTCTACTGAAACCTGTTCACCATGGGTGACCCTGCTGGTATTTGAAATACCAGTGGCATAGCTTGCAGCATCACAGCAACACGCAAGCCATCACAGTAGGCCACACAGGTGGTAGCTGAAGGAGGTATGTACTTTTATTAACCTCATTTGCAGTTGTGAAAATGGGGATACAGAGTAGTAAATAAGTTGTCCAGGGTCGAGTAGTTGCAAAGCCCAGATGGAATATGAACCCAGGTGGTCTGTCTCCAGAGTTTACACTTTTAACCAATACATGACACCATATGATCAGTGTCATGGATTGAATTGTGTCCCCAAAAAATATGTGTACCAATTTGGCTAGGCCATGATTCCCAGTATTGTGTGATTGCCCACTATTTTGTCATCTGATGTGATTTTCCTGTGTTGGGAATCCTACCTCTATGATGTTAATGAGATGGGATTAGTGGCAGTTATGTTAATGAGGTGGGACTCAGTCTACAAGATTAGATTGCATCCTCAGCCAATCTCTTTTGAAATATAAAAGAAAGAAGTAAGTATAGAGACATGGGGAC